GAGGCATATTTCCTATTTCATAAGGATACAAAACGATGCTACCTTGGGTCAAAATTTCTACTGTTCCTCCCTGCATCAATATTCCAGCTGCACTCAACTGTTCTATTTATAGCTATCTGAGTTTCAGTCACCATTTGCTAATACATTACACTACAGTAGCTAAAGCTAGTAGTAGAAGGAAAAATATGCGGATTAAAAAATTAAAGTATACTCATGGAAATAAAAGAAAAATAATACCAAAGAGGATTCAAACTGGATTGAGAAACTCTACCACAACATTTGCTCATTGCTTTAACAGCCATGGCAACCATACATATTAACAAGTGTACAGAGTAAATTTCATATCTTCTTGTGTTTTCTATTAGAACCATGGTACAAAACAGGAAACTGACAGAAACTTTAAATTATACAGATATCAGGTAAGGTAAAAAATGTGAAGTCATAAACATTTATAAGAGAAATCATTCTATAATGGAACTTGCCAGAGTGGGAAATACATTCACAATTTGTATGGCAAGTATATTTAAACGTTTATCTCATATTTTTTTAGTTCAGTTAACAAATTAGTTGCTCAGAGTTCTAATAATGTATGTTTCTTACCATTTTCATGTGAGTACTCTACAGATAAGATTTCTGAAATTGTAAATATTACAGTTACTGAGGCAGAAGTATTAAGCACGATAAATTCATTAAAAAATAAAGCTTCTTGTGGATATGGTGGGTTGTCAAATAAAATTACTAAATTATGTGGTGAACAGACAGCAAAACCACTTACTTATATTTATAATCTTTCTGTAAGTTCGGGCATATGTCCTGACCAATTAAAATATGCAAATATTATACCATGTTTTAAGAAAGGTGATGTTACTGAAATTTCCAACTACAGACCGATACCTTTATTGACAAGTTTCTCTAAATTATTTGAAATATTAGTGTTTAGCAGGCTTAAACAGCATTTTATAAGAAATGATATCCTGGCTCCAGAGCAGCATGACTTCCGTAAGGATGCTTCTACACAAACCGCAGTCTTTAATCTAACCGATACTGTCTTAAAGTATGGAACAATAAGGAGTCTGCAGTAGGTATTTTTTGTGATCTGACAAAGGCCTTTGATTTTGTCAGTCATGATCTGTTGACTCAAAAGTTGAAGATGTATAGAGTCAAAGCGCCTATTCTGAAATGGCTGGAGACTTATTTAAAAAAGAGAATGCAAAGAGTTGTGCTGCATACTTGTAATTCGACTATTACAGTCTCTGAATGGAAATCTGTAAGGTTTGGTGTTCCACTGGGATTTAACGTGGGACCAATGTGTTTAATGTTTATATTAATGATTTCCCAAATACTCATAAGGATATAGCATGTACTATTTTGTACACGGATGACACAACAATTTTAATTACCTCAAATGACCTACACTCTTTGAATATTAAATGAAATAGAGTTATGACTAGGGTTACAAGCTGGTTTTGAAATAACGATCTGGTACTTAATTTCAGTAAAACTCACCTGATTATATTTTTGACTCCTAAGTCTCCAAAGTATACATTATCGATAACATACGAGGGTAGTACTGAAAGTCATGAGTAACAATTTTTTTTAAAGTAACATGCTTTATTATTGACAAACCAAATATACCACCTCAATCGACAGACCTTTCTTTATTTCTCCACATAATCGCCACTTCTTTGTACACATTTCTCCTAGCATTCGGGAGTTTGAAAATTACCCTTCTGTAAAATTCCGTTCCAGCCATCCGAAGACACTGACGCACTGCTTTCTGAATTGCCTCCCTTGTCTCAAAACCTTGTCCATGCAGCTGATCCTTCACAAATCCGAAAAGATGGTAGTCGGAGGATGCCAGATCAGGGCTATAGGAGGGGTGTGGAAGAACTTCCCACCCCATCTTTGCAATTGCTTCCAATGTGAGGCGAGCGGCATGGGGATGGGCGTTGTCATGCAGGATTATGTTTCGTTCCGCACGTTTATCGCGCAATGCACAATGGAGCTTGTGCAGCGTCTGGACATAAAAAGCAGCATTGATGGTTTGCCCAGGTTCCAGGAATTTGGCCAGAATAAACCCTTCTGATATGTTGGGTTTTTGGACTTTATCCATCGTCCTGGTTTTTAAGATAACAAATAAAAACAGACGTTTCGGAAACTGGATCTGTTTCCTTCCTCAGGTGAAGGAAAACGCCTATTCAGTTGAGTCCGTTATAAAGAGCTAGCCTAAATCACCGGACAAACCAAGTTCACAAAACATGAAGATTATAAAAACCTGACACCAGGCTAAGTCCATGAGAGCTAATAAGAAAAATATTCATAACAAATTGCAGCAAACACTTACAAGCGTGGAACAGGATAGATAGATCTGTAGAAATTTATGCCACGAAACTAAACTCATAACCAGGTCCGTGACCCCACAGCATGGAATAGAAAGAAGAACTAGTAACAAAAACTAATAGTGTCTAACTAGCGTCAACAGTGGAGTAAATCACATCTATCTAATTTATAACTGAATAGAAATAAATAAAAGTATATATCACGTCACACAGATCTTCTATGTGAATTGGTGACTTCATTACTGATAATGGGGATCCAAATGGGAGAAAAGTCCAAACTGGGTTGGCTAATTGGGTTGGCCGAGCATGCCATATGGGCCCCTTTCTTGTATTTCCTATACCTGATGTGGCTTTCAATATCCAAAATCTTAGCTTCATCCCAGCCTACCCTATGTCCCTCTTCATAGGCATGTTGGGCTAGTTTAGATTTTTCTAGAAGACCTTCTTTTAGGTTATGCCTATGTTCCCGGAGCCGCATGGCCAGACGTCTGCCTGTTTCACCAATGTAGCTCTGCCACATTCACAGGGAATGCTATAGACGCACTGTGCCGTCCGTTGCGGATCTCTTTTCGGTCTAGTTTTCATAAAGGAGTTCCTAAGTGTGTGT